GGCTTCTGCCAAGGTGCCTGCAGATAACTGAGAAACAAGAACAGGATGAGCTCTGGGCTGTCCCACAGCAGGCCCAGAGCTCGGAGTGACTCTGGAAGGGAACACTGAGGGCAGCAGTTGGTAAAAACCCCACCACATTCTCTGTTTTACTGCACATTACAAATGTTTAGGGAACTCCGGCTATTACAGACCACAATGTAAATAAGAGTCCAAATTTATCCCTTCGTTTCATAAAACATAATCAATCCCCAAGTACTGAACTGGGAAATACAGTGCTGAAAAAATGTGAAAGGCTAGCAATGTGTCACACTGAAAGATGACTTTTCTGCAAAGCAAATGCTTTAAGGACAGCCCATCCATGTCTCCTATTGACCGTTAAATCTACATATCAATGTCCAGCCGAGGTGACAATGCAATCCCAGCTCTCTGCCAAGGCCAAATTAACTAAGCTTTCACTTTCACACAAGCACAATTCCTTGCCCCTCCTGACTCTGGCCTCAGCCCCAGCTCCACACAGGCTTCCAAATCCCCCCAAAATGAACCCGTGGTGAGAAAACCACCTTTTCTCATGCTAACAACTTCATTGTAAAAACATCTTCAGAGGCCATACTCGAGGTCTCAGGGAAAAGTAAACCACTGGAGTGCTTAATGCCACGGCAGTGCATTAACTCATTCACACCCAGACAGCCTGGCCAAACAAGGAGGAGTTTCCTCCCCTCTTTTCCTGATTTATATTTTCACAGCTGTCAGGGAGGAGAGCACGGAGTGATTTATGTAAACCACGAGATTAGGCTGAAATCCTCAGCGTGGATCCCACCTCCTTCCCTCCTGACACACTGACACTGAAAGCAGAGGCACTTCACTACCGAGGTTGTTTTTCCAAAGGTTAAACCGGTTGTTATTTGCACCAGGGTCTGTGTTGTAATGCAGGGCATGGTACAACCAAAGGAGGAAATTCTCCTTCTCGTGTTTTGGTGCTCACAAACTGAGCTCCTGGTGAGGCAGCACAGGTGAGAGTGGCACCTCCTCTCCCTGAACTGACACTAAGTCAGGCTACAGAAGGAAGAGATGAGAAAACTACACATTTTCAAAAGCTCAACAGAAAAAAAAAAAAAAATCTCAGAATTCAGATATTATTATTATTATTATTAACTGTTCTGTTCTGCGTCTCACAGGAAATAACAAGTGAGTGTACAAAATATTTCAAATCCACAGAGGTAATTCAGAAATCCTGCCTTGTCTCAAAATTTCCAAGCCTTAAAAGCCATTCCTGAGGAAACAACATATTCCAAGTGAAGCTGAAACATGGCTATGATAGGTCTGAGGGACCTCGTAGCAAGCCAGGGCAGAACACAAAATTCATGCATGCTGGTCTGGTCCAATTTCATCTGGAAATTTAAAATAAAAAAAAGTGCCAGAGCCCCTTCCCTGAAAGTCACTTTAGGATTACTGTGAAAGGGGAATTGAAGAGCCAATGCTCTCAGATGGAAAGTAAAACATCTGGGGACATCACCACCAGCACTGGCTGCTGCTCTAGCATCTGAAATAGAAATATGGAAAATATTGTTTGTCCACAAAACTACTTCACACATCTTCTTCAAACATCACCAATCTGGTTTCAAAAAGGATAAATTTAAATTCGTGCTCTCTCCTACACAAGAAAATGTGATTTTTCTACAGGAACAGTCCAAGATGGGCTGATCTAACAGCTCAGGACAAGTGGAACACACCTTCAGCAGAACTGTTCCCACCCTTCTGGAAGGACACAGTGGCCTTTCCATTGCCAGCACTGTTCCCACCACAATCAGAAGGTTTTCACTCAGAGCTCTGTTCCCATGACTGGCCTGAACACATTACCTGGAGCCCATCACCCCATCAATTAACGCCTGCACGCAACCACTGGGATCCCTGAGCCTGGCTCAGCCCCACCAAGGGCAACCAAAGGGTTAAAATCCCATGTCAAACACAAGTCCTGGCTCTGGACCAGAAGGGACATGGGAACCAGGGCAGCTGAGTTATAAAGGCCTTATTGTAGCAGCCCACTGGATTGGAAATGACTTGTAGGCCTAATGAAACAAAACTTTGGCAGTAAAACAGAATGAAAGGAATGAGACAATAAAAGAGAGGAACAAAGGGAGCAGAGTTGTTTCAGCTTAGGAAAATAAGCTCACTTTGTTGTTGGGAAAAGCCAAAGCCGATTAGGATAAACCAATGACTAGGCATAAGTCTTCCAAACTAATTACACAGTTGGCCATGTGAAGTGGAATTGCACAAGCCAGGCTGGGCTGCTCTGCAGGAGCTCTGTGCAGGGAGCAGCACCTGGGCACACCTGGGCACTGCTGCAGCCCCCAGGGCCAGGACAATCACTATCAGAAATCTTATAAACTGAATTTCAGCAATTATCATTGCCACACACTTTGGTATTGTATCATCAGCCACTTTCACTGCTCGGTTTACTAATTAAATATTATATTATCACTATTTACAGGTGGGCTTACTACAGCTTTTCCTTTTCTTGGAGACAAAGGTTCTGGCACTGGCTTCTCAAAAAGCTGCAGTTTTAAATTCAACACTTTACCCCTTCCTGCCAACTCCAGTTCCACGAGCGAGCCCACCTGGCCCCAGAGCTGGTGGTGGCTGCTGTCCCCACATCCTGTGTGCAGAGAGCCACCTCCAGCCCCAAACCACCTGCCCTGGCTGCAGAGCTGCTCTATAGTGAATGCAGACAGGATTGATCCTGATTGCAGGAACTGCAGCCGCCTCCAGCCCCAAAACACCTCCCCTGGCCCCAGAGCTGCTCTGCACAGCAAGCACAGACAGGATTGCAGGAACTGCAATTTTTTCCAGGCTGATAAATAAGCTCAGCATTTCAAAGAGCAAATCACCTGAGATGCTCTTATCAAACAGGGGCGGCTCCTCACACTTTAACTGTCTCATGCAATTTGCCTTATTTTAAGGAAGCCCTGAGCAAAGGCAGGGCTGGCCAGGGAATGTGGGTCATGGATGGAGCCAGGCTGGGTGCTGAGCACAGGCCCTGCCTCACAGGGCCCCAGCAAGGAAGGGGGAAGGACAAGGATTGACTCCTGCAGGGTCCTGCAGCACCAGCCCTGGGTGCAGTGTCTGAATGCACCCTCCCACTGCCCACAGCATTGTTAACAAGTCTTCAACTCAGCTGAACCAAACTCCCCATTGCTAAGGGTCACCGACCACATCCTGACAACCAGGGCCTGAGGAGAATCACCCCACAACACCCTGAAACCAAAGAGTCCCAGCTGATAAGGAGCAGCACCACGGGGAGAACCCCACACCTGCAGCAAGGTCAGGTCACAGCCACACAGCCAAGCAGCCTCTGCTCCAAGCAGCCCCAGCTTTACACACCCTGAACAAGCTGGAGCAGGGACTGTGGCCCAGGTCGGCTGCAGTGACAGGGACCAGGCCCTGCCAGCCTGGCTCCTGCAGGGGCTCAGCGTCACAGGGACAACCCTGACCTGGCAATGGGCTCCTACCTTCACCCCAACTTGGGCAACTTTCACCTCCTTAAATTTTTCATCCTGCAAAATTAAGACACTCGAAGGAAAAAACCACTTGATTTTCCCAAAGTGCTGCCTTTGGGAAGGCAAACCTCTGCTAAGCTGTCTCAAGAATGGCAGAGCATGAAGGCAGAACCAAAGTGTCCCGAGTCCCCAGTCACTCCCCAGCCACAGCCTGGCTGCTGCATTCTCAGGGACTGTAAAACTGCAAGCATGAAACCACCAGATGGTGAAATTAAAAAGACTATATTAAGACAACATCCAGACAATATGCAAAGCACTTATATTGAAACTATTATTAACTTGAAAAATACAGGTTAGTGGAGTTCTGCAATTAGAAGTAACTACAGAAGAAACATCCAAAAGCTCATGTAATCCTTTAATAAAAGGCTCAGCAGGCTGTAAACATCCTGCCGGAATCGAAGATTATTATTGAAAATAAAATGACTGGTTTGCAAAACAACTATCAATCCAGCACAGGAACCATTTATAAACTCGCCTCCTCAGCCCTCCACGAAATCCTGCCTGGCTCAGGCTTTCCAGGGCAGATAAAGGAAACACAAACTGACTGCAAGGAATGGGAGCTGCCCTGCTCTGGGATCCCCTGCTGTGTCCTCAGGCAATGCTGCGCCTAAAGCACCAAATGCTGCACTCCGAGGACAGGAACGGAGCTGCTGGGCTGGAACCCCTGCAGCTGGAACCCATGGAGGCACAAGGTGGTGCCACAAAGCGCTCTCAGAGCAGGCAGCTCCTCACCCATGGCCCTCCTGAGCAATTGTCCAGAGGCCTGGGCACCCAGGGAACCCCATGGAAATCAGGGCCACCAAGCACCAGCCACAGCCTGCACAGCTGCTGCATCACAGCAAGGGCTACTCTGGCAAGGTTCAGATCTCCTTCTTTGCACAAACTTGTTTGTTTGTGGGTTTTGGTCAGGGGTTCTTTTGCTGTGGGTTTTTATTTTTGTTCTTTTTAATTTTTCAATGATGCCAGCATTCTACACATCCTTGCAGAAAGATTTTCTAGTAAGAAATTAAGTGGATATTCTAGTGACTTCCACATTGCTCTTTCTTTTCACGTGGTTCCTCCAGGCATTTTCACAAATTAATGAGCTCTCCAATACGTCTCCCTGCCCTTTTTGCCACTGGAATCGGGGCTAACAGAAGGCTGATTTTATGGAGAAGACAACTGTGTAATCATTCAGCTAAGGGTCAGATTCTTCCTGAACAGACACAGATTCACCTCCCAGTGATGCTTTTTTCTTCACTGGAAGTAAACAGTGCTGGCAATGTTGTACACACACAAGCAACAAACAGAAAAGGAATCCCAGAGGCTTCAAGAAATGACACGGAAAGGCAAAAACTTGGCCCTCCTTTGAGCTCAGTCCTCAAAGCACTTTTGTTTTTCAAAACACACTTCAAACAGAAAGGGAAGAAAGAACAACTATGTAGTGCTCACTTGGGCAGAACTTACCTTGCCAAACTGTTCAAAGTATTGCTTCACGTCCTCCACTACTGTATTAGCCGATAATCCACCTACAAATATTTTCTTTGTTCTTGTGACCATCTGTAAGAAATTACAAGACAAGCATATGGTTTAACCAGATTATTTCAAACAATATGTGGAAAAAAGAAATATTTTTCAGATCCCGTCCCTAACCCAGATAATGAGAATACTTCTTTACAAAAGCAATTTCAATTCGATTTGATTAGATACTTCTTTCTCTGTCTTGTTTTGTTTTTATTTGAGAGATGGCTGAGCAAAGGCTCTCAATAACAACTCTAGCCCCCGGATATTTTTTTTTAATAAATGATTTTTATTGTGCTTCTCAATGCAAATAAAAGTGAAAAAGGAGCCCAAGCACTGTATCTCCATACTGTCTCACAGCAGAGGTGCCTTTGCCCCTCCTTTTCCCACACACAGCCTGAACGCTCCTTGGCAGGGACAGGCAATTACATCAAACCCAAGTGATGTGTTATTAAGTTTCCAGGGGTCAGTTTAAAAGGAACTTGCACAGTTACTTTTAAAGTAATCAAATGATGAAAGACAGCCAGAGCTGCCAGCGCAGCATCCTCCAGCCATCACATCCTGTGCCCATGGAATCACCAGCCCCTACAGGAACCTGTGTGTGCCCCCAGCCCATGGAATCACCAGCCCTGTGCCCATGGAATCACCAGCCCTGTGCCCATGGAATCACCAGCCCTGTGCCCATGGAATCACCATCCTGTGCCCATGAAATCACCAGCCCTGTGCCACACCAGCCCCTCCAGGAACTGGGTGAATCAGCTGGGTGATAGCTGGTTGCCCATGAAACGAAACTAAGTTCATTCTTAATTCTTCTCCAAGGAAAACCTACAAACCCTAATGAAGCGGATTAGGGGATATTTAAAGGGGGTACAGCTCCTTTAAAAAAGAATAAATACTGATTCCCCAACTACACTGTGGGCCCTCAAGCAGCCACCAACAAAGTGTGCATTAAAGCTCTACACTACAAAAATATAAGAACTTTATGACTCCCTCCCCATTAACAGGCTAACCTAGATTCAAATAGGAGAATTAATGCTAGAATGAGTAACCAGGGTCCTCCCTCTACGACACAAGCTTACATCCGTACATCGTTAACAAATCACCAATATACCACAAATCATAAAAGCACAGTATTAAATATCTTATTACCCCCACAGAGGAGTGTCCGTTAGGAAAGATTAAAACCTGTGGAATCACCATCCCTGGGGCCACGGACACAAAGCTCAGAGCAGCCCCAAACCCTTCCCAGAACAAATCAATCATCACTCCTGTCCCACAGCCTGCACATCAACCAGGGCAGACACTCCCCTCAATCAGCTCCAATCACACCTTGCACAGCCTCACTTTTTCTGTTTGGGGTTTTTTTTTTAAAGTTAGGAAGAAAAAGAGAGAAGGAAAAAAAAATGTGTAAAAATTCAATTATTTTTTTCCTGGCTGCAATCTAGGGCTCCAAAATTGAAGCCCAAGCATATATTTTTCTGTAGAAAATTGTCATTTACAAATAAAGAATTGGCTAAAGCCGACTTGTAACTAAAGGATTTTGCAGGGCTGTCAAGAGCCCTCTGCCTGCCAGCATCTGATTTAAGATCAGGCCAAGCTTCTGTTGTCATACAAAAGAGGGAGGAAAGCAATTATTCTAAAGCAGTATTTGAAATTATCATCGTTTTTATATTTGACCAAGAGAGAAGGAAAAAGAGAGCTACTGCTTTTAGAAGCAAGATTGAAGGTTATAGGGAAAAAAAAAAAGACCACTTTGTTTCAATAGCTTCAGTCAAAGAAAATATTGGTAATGACAAGCAAATTCACAACATTTTAATGCCTAGAGATGCGTTGCGAGCTGGGAAATGGTTTCAGAAATCAGCTCTGTGGTACCAAAGCGAGGCACAAAATTAAGTCTGCTTTTACAATCCACATTTCCCTGAAGAGACCCCTCAATTGCTTTGTTCCCACCTTCCCCCAGCACCAGAACAGAGAATGCACACCCTGACGTGTCCCTACAGCAGGGCCAGCTGCCTGACTCCCACCTGTGGCACGAGGTGGCACGGCCTCACCTGGGCAAGGAAAGGAGCACGGG